GACTAATGATGAAAAATGCTATTCACCTCGAGAGAAAGAACTGATGGAGTCTGAATGCTGATTGAAGCAAACTTTTTTTTGCTTTATTTTTCTCCTTTTGGTCTATGTTTTCTTTTACAATACGACCAATATGGAAATATGTTTTGCATGACTGCACATGTATAACCTATATCAAACTGCTTGAGGTAGGAGGGGATGAGGAGAATTTGGAATTCAAAATTTTAAAAAACAAATGTTAAAAATTGTTTTTACATGTAATTAGAAAAAAATAAAATTCTGAAAAAAAAGACAAATCACATTTTAAAAAATCCTTTGAGAGAGATAGTACAAGTAGTTTAATTCCCATTTCCAACACAGGTAAAGTAAGTTGTTCAGGATCACATACAAGCTGTAGTCTTGAGTGAACCACATCACTTCATGCCTTAGTCACTTATTGTGTCTCAATGTTTTTTGTTTCAAAAAAATAAATCTTATCTCTCCATGAAACTGTCAGCAACCTGAGTGCAAGGACAGAAATCCTAGGTGTGTCAGCATTTCAGAAGTAGAAAGTGCTTTATCAATCCCAGTTTTTGGTCTGTCTTATGTCTCTTTGTACCTGCTTCAGAATCAGCCACACAGATGCTTAATACTTTCTGAATTGAATTAAATTTATTCTCTTCTACCGGCCTATAGGCAAGTCAGAGCCTAACCCCAACCCTTTGAAGTAAAGTTACTGGCCTGGGGCGATCAGGGAAAGTGCAGCAGACAGAGAGATGATGAGTTTGGACTCCTACCATCAGAGAAAAAGAGGACCTAATTGAGGACAGGGAGTTAGTGCACCCACAATGCTGAACTCACTTCTGTTTAACAGAGTACCAGGGACAGTGGATGGTGCTTTTGCAATAGATATAAAAATGATAGCTGGCATTGATAGAGTGCTAGAATGTGCATAAAGCACTTTAATACATTATTTCATTTGCTCCTCACAACAATCCTGTGAGGAAGGTACTGTTACGATCTCCATTTAAGAGTTGGAGAAACTAGAGTACTGTGACTTGCCCAATGTCACACAATTGGACAATGTTTTTTGTCAAGATTCCAACCCAGGCCTTCAGGACGCCAAATCCAGTGACCTATTCACTATGCTATTCTATCTCTCAAAAATAGCTGGGGGTGGCTACAAGCACACACTTGTTCCTGTGTATCTCCCACGTTGCTATTTCTATTCTAAAAAATGACCCTCATTTGTCTAGCAAGGATCATGAATGTGGAATGGGTTAGAAAAACACGCACCTCAAGAACTACATCTCAAGCTTTTTTATCCTTTCCACAGTATAAGAGCTCACTCCTGGAGATCCAGAATTTTTCTTTATATAATTCTAGTATCTGTTTTTTAAAGTAAACATCTACAAAAGGAAATGATAATCACCAGAAGTCAACATACATTTATCAAGAACAGGTTGGGCCAGCCTAACCTCACGTGCTTTTTTGGCAAGGGTACCAGGCTAGTGAAACAAGGGAATATCATGATGGTAAAGTTAGATGGATTTGGAATTGGTTGAGAGGTTACATTCAAAGCATAGCAACCACTCGCTCAGTGTCAACTTGGAAGAAGGTCTTTAGGAGAAGGTTTCAGAGATCTCTGCTTGATCCTATACAATTTAACATTTTTATCAATGACATGGATAAAGACAAATGGTCTATTTGTTAAATTTGCAGATGATGTGAAGCTGAGAGGCAGAGCCAACACCCTGGATGGCAGAGTTGGGATTTAAAAAGATCTTTAAAAGCAAGATCACTGGGCTGAATATAGATGGAACTAAATAAGGATAAAGGTAAAAGTTTTACCCTTGGATTCAAGAAATCAATTGCACAAACACAAGACAGAGCGGGGCATAGCTAGCATAACAGTTCACTTTGAAAAAAAATGTGGGAATTTTATTGGACTGCAACATAAGCCACAGATATCTATCACATCTCACTTAATCTATATATGTTAAGCATGTTCAGTTCCTTCAACCTTTCTGCATACAGTAAGTCATGATTTCCTGACTCTTCACCACCTTGGCTGTTTTCCTCTGTACACTTTATAGTGTGCCAATGTCCCTACTAACATGTGTTGTCCAGAATTAAACACAATGCTCCAGATTTGGTCTGACCAGGAGAGAGGTCAATGGTGCTATCACTTCCCTCTTTCTGGTTATTAGACTTCTAATGATGCAGCCTAAGATCCCATTCATTTTTTTTTTTTAGCAACCAAATCACAAAGTTGGCTCCTGTTATGCTAAACAACGTGACTGGGTCCCATGGCTAACATCCAAAGCAGGAAGTGATCCTCCCCTACTTCCCGGACCCAAGTGCTCAGTCTTCATAAGCACCTGGATACCCACTCGCTCCCAGCAAAACTGGCTGTGTTTACATTGTTCTGGAAAGCACTTAGGAGCTATAGCAACACATGCTATATAAACAAATACTAGGAATACAGAAGACTAATAAATGCTGTAGATCAACATCTGGTCATTAGGAAGCAATTAGCACCTCCCTTAATTCATTAGTTCTGCAATCACTTCATTTATTCATTCAACATGAACTTATTAAATACCTACTATGTGCATGGCCCAGTGTGGGGCTTAGGCCAAAAAAATAGAAATGTAAGCAGAAGTGGTTGCTTTAAAAGGTTTGGCAACAATGCTAGGGAAACACAGCATGGCCATGAAACAGCTAAGTAACAACAGAAGCCAGTTTGTGCAAAGTGCCAGAATCTGTGGTATGGATCAGAAACACTGCAGGAACTTTGAAGAGGGAAATGGTCAGGGCAGGCCTTAGGCAGGAAGAATCAGGGGGATACAGCTAGGGAAAAATGTTCAAGAAGGGCATTTTGACCTGGCAGTGGAAGGTAGGGAAGGCAGAGGGCACGGGATGAACAATACTGTGCTGAGTTGGAATGAGCAGGATGTATGTGGAGGTCATTGTGTGCCTGGCATGGTGGAAAGCCCCAAGCAGGAGCATCAGGAAAGCCAAATAGCCTTGGAGAAGCATAAGGGTGTCCCAAAAGTCTCAGTGCAGGTGTAAGCTTTCAGAGGTATAAATGCTACAAACTGACTTTAAAAAGTTTGAAAGGTTAATTGCTCAGTTTCAAAATACTGATATGTTTTGTCAATTTTTTAAACTTTGTAAAAACTTTTATTAGCTGCTTTTGTGACTGAAAGGATGTATTTGTAATCTTAGCCTTAAGATCATCCCAAAAAATGAGGTTTTGAGGCATACATAGCAGTTCTGATGTGACCCCAAGGAAAAGTCTAATGGAAATAGATCAGGTGACTAAAGCTGTCAAGCAAGAGGACTTCCTTTATCAATCTACTGTTCGGAGAATGTGTCATCCAGAAAGTGTCACACACATAATTCATAATGACTAGGTATGTTGTCTTTTAAAATAGAAAATGTATTATTCATAATTCACAAAACTAAATAAGTGTAAAGGAAATTCAAATAATTAAGCTTTCAAATGTTTCTGTAAGTTTGTACCTTTATACTTTTGAAATTATTAACGCTTAAAACTGCACTGAGAATTTTGGGACACTACATCCTACAGTAGTTGGTGATATAAGATATGCATCCATTGAAAAGCTACAGAACTACTTTAAAGTAATAATAAAAAAGTATAAGATAATGTGGTTCCTGTATCACAGCAAGTGTCAGATATTCCAAATAAAATAAATCTCACTATGGAATAATGGTCTTATAAAGCTTCCTAAAGGTGTGTCTTGAAGGAAGTTGAGAATTTTGACTGATGATAAGGAGAACCAGGGCATTCCAGAAAGGGGGGAAAGCATGAGTAAGGTCACGGAGATTGTCCTAAATGGAAGAGAAGGTCAGAGCCATGGAACTACAGAGCTTGCCAGGTGGACGGCTGATTTTTCTCTTAATGATGCTAATGGCCACAGTGTGCAGTGGGTACAGGCTCTTTTCTGGCCTCAATCTGTGATATCCTGCTGGTTTTTAATGAACAGTATGGAAAAGAAGTCTTTAGATCCCCTTAGGGAAGTTAGTTTTTTTTTAGAACTGACAACAGTGGCTTTGACACCAGCAAAACTGAAGCTCTGGGTCTGGGTAGAATGGACACAAATTGTTTTCCTGTGGGGAAAAGGAAGAGAAGATAGGATAGAGATGCAGACAGGGCTGAAGAATGCACCCAAGTAAACACTACTAACCTTTGGCAGGAAACCAGCCTGCGGAGACATGCTTCCTTCAGCTCCCTTTATGGGGAAGAATGGTACGCTGCTCTCAGAGCTAGCCAAATTCCCTCAGTCCCTCAGGACTTCAGAGGCAGGGGAAGAGGAGAGGCATGCAACATCCCGTCTGCTTGACCAAATGGCAACGAATGCAGACTAGGGCCTGCTGAGTGACCCAGAGGCTCCTGCTGGGAACCTGTTCCCTATTTCATGCCCCCGGCTTCTCCAATTGGAATATAAAGCAATGTCAGGAACAGATTGGGAAGAATAGCCTGACCCCTCTGAACACCATAAATTCTGTTTTGTTTTGTTTTCTAAATGAGCTGCAAGAGTCGTATAAATATCCTTTAACTACAGCCTCCCTCCTCCAACCAAATTCAAGATGGACTGCTGCCATGCTTCTTTTCTCTGCCCTGGGTGAGTGCTTCCTCACTGGAAGCCTCAATGAGTTATGGGGGGCCTATTCCATTAGGAAACAGAATGATAACTCATAGCTGGACATCAGAATCCAGTGACTTAAACTCTTTGGAGGTCAGGATTTATTTCATACCACAGGATGAAACATCACACTACTAGTCACCAGCATCCCACAGCAACAACAGAAGTAACTGTTTCCATAATTCATAGGCTCCACTTTGAGATAACATCAATTAAGATTAATGGGATCATTGCTCAGAACTAATTCCTGATTACTGCTGGCCTGGATGGAAAGGTTTCTTTGGGTTTATACTTTTTTTTGAATAAAAAAGAATCTTCTGGTGAAATGATTTGTAAGAAAGCCACACACACCTGGGTCTAGGTTGTACTGGCCCAGCAGCCTGAAGACAAGTTTGCTCAGCATTTTCTGGTTCAGTTTGTCCGCTCTTGAGGGAGGCACATTTTGATACTGTCTGCAAGAAAGAAGACCAAGCAAGTACATCATCACAGGTTTCTTCCATAGTTTGCTCATTTAAAAGCATTATTGGTACTATGTCAGAGCAGAAGAGCATTAAAGATGAGGAGCCTGTGTTTCTCCTTCACTCTATTCTTCAGCCAGGTCTGTGAGATGGTTATGGGACCATGAATCTTCACAGAGAATTCTAGTCAATTTAATCCAATACATATTTATTCAGCATATATACCATGAAAGGCTAATAAACCAGGCATGGAGGATAAAAAGATAAATAAGACCTAAGTCCTGCTCTCGTGGAGCTTTTAAGCTAATAAGGGAGAGTAGTGAGAGAGTAGTGAAGGACAAACATATAAATTAATAATGGTAATGATAATTATAATAACTAACATTGATATAGTGCTATGTGCCAGGCACTGTACTAAGTACTTTACAATTATTATCTCATTTAATAATGACAATAATAATTATAACTAACATCTATGTAGTGCTTACTATGCGCCAGGTACTGTGTTAAATGCTTTGCAATTATCACCTCATTTGATTCTTACAATAACCCTGAAAGGTAAACTCTAGTATTATCCCCATTTTATAGAGGAGGAAACTGAGGCAAACACAGGTTAAATGACTTGCTCAGGGTCACATAGCCAGTAAGTATCTAAGGCGAGATTTTAACTCAGGTCTTCCTAACTCTAGACTTGGCATTCTATCCATTCTGCCACTCAGCTGCCCCTGTATAAGGGAGAGAAGTAAATGCAAAGAGAGAGTCAGGCAAAGTGCTATTAGAAATTTGAGGAAGAAATAGCTTCACTCCTTCCCAAACTGTGTATAAACCTCAGGAGTAGGAACCAAGTCTGAGGTGAGAGGGAGCTAGAACAAGAAGTCACCGCTGCCACATATCACTCTATTTTGCCTCATCACAGCAAACATAAAGAGATAACAGCATGTGCTCAGGTGCACGCACACGCGCGCGTGCACACACACGCACACACACACACACACACACAGCTACACTTTCTCCAAAGAAAGGAAAACCATTAGAGGCTGTGCTCAGACTCTTTGGCATCTGTTGGTCTCTCAGCTCCATCAACAGAAATCACCCTTTCAAAGTCTGTACAGAATGAACTCCCCAACAGTAGAATCTCTGCACCCATCTCCTGGCTGCTAGGAACATGGTGAGGTGTTAGGATTAACTCCCAACACAGGCCGATCCAGAGCTGGGTGTGCAGTAGAAGGTGTAGGTTTATGCGCCGTCCCGGACACCTGTTAGCTGTGCAAGCAGCAGAAAGCCACTTAATCTCTAGGAGTTCTCAGCTTCTTCATCTGTAAATGGGATTCATTTCTGCACCATACACCTCACAGGGCAACTGTGAATATGCAGAAACTATAAAACACTATATAAACGTGAGGGGGAATGATTAGCTCCTGGGGCAATATCCAGCAACTTCTGCTTAAAGTAGTTAAAGAAATGTGGAGATTTAAAAATTGTCATTTGTTCTTTCTCCAAGGAAGGGTAATTTCCAAAGTGTCTTTGAAGAGAACGCAGATGAAGGAAATCTCATTTGTTTGTGATTTGCCAAACCTTGCAATTGCTTAGAGTCTATTCAGGTATATGCCTCTGAATCCTGCTAAGGTAGCTGGCTCTAAAATTTTTGCTCAGGAACCTGACTCCAGAACCCACTGAAGTGCCATGTTGTCTGCTTCTCAGTCACCTGGTTTAGATGCCCATATCTAGAGAGCAGAAGTAGACCACAAAGAACCTCTCTACGACATCTTTGTATGACTCACCTGGCAATATCTCTAGTATTAAAGGTAGGGTGACACCATGTGTCCATGATCTGTAAGAGCTGGCTCTGGAGGTGTGGATAGTCGGCCACGTAGTCCTCAACAAGGTTTGCTTTATCCTGAAGAAGCAAGGGTGTGCACATCTAGAGTGGAGGGAAGAAAACCACATGCACATCAACAATTATGTTATGATGAACACTTTGCAATAATAAATAAAGTAGTCAGGCCCAACACCCAGAAAGTGTGAAAAAGCTGTGAAACCCAGGAAGGGAAAAGTTCTGAAATCAAAACATCATCATGACATTAAATGGTGAACTCCATGCCTATAACCTAAGCCACCGCAGTTGTACTGTCCATAGCACTATGGGCCTGAACACCTAATAGGTTCAGACCACAATCAGAAGGAAGAAAGAGCCTTTTTGATTTAGGGTGAGACAAGGACACTTAGTAAGAATAAATGGAACAAAAACTTATTTAGGCTTCCTTAGCTCTTTTAGGCTTAAAACCAAAAAAGGGGGGGGAAAGCAGCCATTCAGCTACAGAGAAATTAAGCTGGCTTCAATGCATTGAGTGCAAGTCAGGGTTAGTTTCTTAGAGTAGAGTAAGTGGCTGCCCAATAGATTTGCTCACCCTTGTTTTACAGTTCTAACAGTGGTGGGAGGGAAGAGATTATATCATCCCAAGATACAATTTTTTAAAAAATCAATACAGCACCCATTCTGACCCTTGCTAACCCTGTCCAAAGAGCTTTTTTCTTGACTGATAGATAGTATCCTTTTTCCATCCCTTCCTCCAGATTCTCTGCTGAGTTAGGGTGGAATTCCACCCCTACCTACCTCTCAGTCCCCCGGCAGAATTTTCACTATAAAGAAGGAAAAGTGTACTATGTTGAGGACAGTGGTTTGGGTCCTGATTTTGTTGAAGCTTGACTCTTAACACATTGTATGTGTAAACAAATGACTCACCTTTTCCACATCCAAATCTGGTTGTAACTTTAGCTTTGTGCTTAGTATAACTGCCTGGAAAATACAGAGAAGAGAAATGATTTTTCATATGCATATTTGAAAGAAAAGCAGTAAGGTTAGAAGAAGGGTGAAACATTCAGGATGATCTTTCTGATATTTCCACTTAGAAATGTGAGGGCCTATGTAATACTAAACCATGTTTAACTGATTCCTTTCTACAAACTCAATGGGACCCTTTGCACCTCACAGAGGTCCTGACCTGACTGGCCTACAAAAAAGAGTCTGTGGTTCAGGAGGGCACCTGAAGGGTAGGCCTGCCTACAAAGCAAGACCCCTCTGTGGTCCTATGACCACTGATTTTTTAAGTGTGGAGAATGAGAAAAGCACCAACCAGACCTCCCACCACCCAAGTGGTCAGGTTCTGGTACGGAAGCTAATGTTGAGGCAAACTTTGTACACAATTCACTCTGCTCATTTCATCTTTTCTTTCAATTCTCTAGCCTTTCTCTGACTCTTTTCCCTAGACTTTGCTCACTTCTGTATTTACTCCCCCCAAACCCCTCATCAACATCAATATTAAGCGCCCAACGAATGACAGTCTCTTCCCTAGCAATAGCCTCAGTTTGGTTCTGATGGCTGATCCCAGCTTTGTATAACTCAGCTGGGGTGGAGAATCTGAGGAACTAGAGGCAAGGCTCCCTTGGGGCTCCATCATGGCTCCCTAGCTACAGAACTCTGGCCCTGGCCCCCCATTAGCACCAGACATGCATGGGAAGTGAGGTGAAGAGACGTTACACATGCTCCTCTGCCCTGGGTCACAGATCATTTCTATATGAATTATACTGACTCTTGGAGTATCTGTCCTTTAACTGTTAGAAGGTGAAGAATAAAAGGAGCTGATCATTTCCTTAGAGTAAGGGCTCTTAACCTGGGGTTCCCAAACTTTTTAATATTTTGATAACTGTATTCCAATGTATTTTATTTTATGCATTTAAAAACATAATTCTGAGAAGGCATCTATAGGTTTCACCAAACTGCCAAAGGGGTTCACAAAAGTGGTTAAGAACCCCTACATTAGAATAAATTAGCACCCATCAATGTTTTGGATGACAACCATTCTTTCTAGCATTAAGGGTACATAAAATTTCTAAACCCAAACTACTTTTCAGGAATGAATAATTCTGTTCCATTAATGAGAAACCCAGTTATGGCAGAATCAAACCAGAATGCTGCACAATAGTTAACATGAAGCCAATTCCACTGAGATGCTCCCGAATATGAACTTGAAAACTCTTGTCTCAGAGAACTTGCCCATAAAAGAATACACTTCCCCTGGGCAAGTGTTGCCTCTTTTTCTGGAATCCTATATGGGATTTCACCATGCCCACAATCCACAAGAGAAAACGTTTTCTCTAGCCCTGACTACCAGCACGTACTGCTGACTTTTCTGGTGCTATTAATAATTCCCATAGATCGAGCTCCCATTACATATAAAAATAACAGGCATGAACAAACATACAGACAGGCATACAGGCTACATCAAGCTATTCTCCCATCTCCCCATCCCCCTCTTTTTTTCACAGCACAGATCAAAATAGAAGCATGGGAAAGGTTCTGGTCACTTCTTCCAGTTCCCTTCCCTACCCTATAGACTATATTCACGGAGAGATGAGAGGGGGTGGAGTAAGGGTAGGGGCAGGCGTAAGCATCAAGAAGCCTTTTCATCCCTCTGCCAATTGGTCTGGTCTCCATGTAGCCAGTTCCCTTCATTCTGATTCTTGACCTTTGCTAACAATTTCTCTTTCGATGAGTTCTTCTCAAATCTGATAACTGTCCTAGAGGTTGAGCAAAGTGCAAACCTCTGGATGAAATCCAACCAATAGTAAGAAATGTCTATGAGGGTCTTCTAGGCAGGCACCTTCAAGGATAGTGGAGTCTCACAGGAGTGAGCCTTTATACCACTTAGACACATTTTTCTTATCGAGAATTGCTTGAAACACCAATATGATCATTGATCAGTGGGCTATTGTCTAGAAATATGCTAAGTGGGACTAAGGAGAAAGCTTTAGAAAATACTTTCAACATGTTTAAACAGAAGTTTGACTTAAATTTGCTCGCTCCAGAAAACTAGGCTTCCAAAGAGAAAAAAGGAAACTACTTTTCTTCATAGTTGAAACTGTTGTAGTTTCTACTTGGGAGACAGGACTTCCAATTATTCACCTTAACTCGGCAATATACTCTATTGATGGCTTGGACAAAGATTCCCCAACCCCTCAGTTTCTTAGCTTGTTAAATTGGGGCTACAAAGAACGAACATTCCCACAGGAACATAAATACAGAACCATCATTTCATCATCTGAAAATTTGATAAAACCACAGTATAAGGGAGAATGCTTCATCTTAGAAATCTATATTTGGCACATATTTTATAAATAAACTATATTCTCGTATACCTGGCATAGAAAGAAAAACTGGAGAGGTTACAACGTGGAAGAATGGTGAGGATAAAACAAAACATCTGTGACAATGGTAAAGTGGAATGCTTTGATTAGCCTGAAATTTCCTAATTATCATTCATTGAGCTTTTGCATGGATATGTAGTATGAATATGAAAAGAGAATTAGAAACTCCACAAGTAAGACCCTTTCCCACTGGAGAACACCTATTCAGCAGTGGAGGGAGACATCCCACAGAAAAGAATGCATCGTGCAAGAAAGCCTCCAGACTATCACAGAGTCAACAGCTGCAGCACCCTGCTTCCAAAGAAGCTCACGGCTGCCTTGTTGGGACCTTCGCATGGGACTCTAAGAAAAGAGAAAACAGGGAGGAGCAAACAGGCTCAACCTATAGCAAGGAAACTGGACAACCAGGCTGTCCCTAGTCATTTATATTATATTTACTTATAGAACCTGATGCTTGTTAACGATACAAATCATTTGTTTTCAACTAGTGACACCCAGTGTAAAATAGAGGGAAAGGAGTTCCCTGATGGAGGTAATGGGAGGAAATGCTAAGCAGGGAAAAAAAAAACAGATTCTGTTGCCAGGAAAATGAAAGGGGAAGGACATAACAGTAGTAACCAAACTCCTTTCTTGCCTGGAATTATGTTGAAGAGAATGCAATAAGAAAGGAGAGAATTCAATAGACAATTCCACCCTTGGCTCTCCAAGTGTAGATTCTCCTTATGAGAATTTGTTCTCTCTTTCTTTACAGACAGTGTGGTATCTCAGAGGCCTGGAGGTAGTGTGATATAATGGAAAGTACACTGAACTCAGAGTCAAGAAAGATGGGCTCAGATTCTTGCTCCGATGCTTATTGTGTGACCTTGGATAAGTCCCTTTACCCCATCACTTTGCTCATCTATAAAATGTAGACAATAATACTTTTACTACTTGCCTGATAGTGTTATTGCAAGGAAAACATTTTGTAAACCTTAAATCACTACACAAATGTGAATTATTATTGTTACGTTCCAAACAGTCACCAACCTGCCGAACATGTCAAACTAACTCCTTCCATGTCACACATATTACAAAGTTTAGTGCACAGACCTTCAGGTAGGAATTAGGAAGCTTGCATTCTAATTCTGACTACTACCAAATAGTCACCAAGTAGGACCTTGGACAAGTCATTTCATATCTGTGGGCCTCAGTTTCCTCATTTGTAAAGTGAGAAGGTAAGACTAGATAACCTTTAGGTTCCCTTCCAGCCCTAAAATCCTATGTTCTGAAGTCAGAGGGCCAGCTAATGTTCTGGGTTTCATTGCCAATAGGAAAAGAAAGGATGGGAAGGTAAAGGGAATAAGGATTTATATAGTGCCTACAAAGTGCCAGGCACTGTGCTAAATGTTTTTTACAAATATCATCTCAGTTGATCTTCACAATGACTCTGCTAGGTAGGCACTCTTATTCCTCCCATTTTATAGTGAGGAAACAGAGGCAAAGAGAGTTTAAATGACTTGCTCAGGGTCGAAAGGCTAGTAAGTGTCTGAAGTTGCCTTTGAACTTAGGTCTTCCTGACTTCAGTCTACTGCTCTATTTCACTGTGTCCAAAAAGGTATTGGGTTACCTGAACTCTCTATACCTCAGTTCATACATCTGTAAAACCCAGATATTACCATGGATCTTGATTCCCAGACATCCAAGAAAGAGATCATGAATTTGATTTTGTTTGCTGACAGGGCTATGTGACAAGACCTGGAAGTAAATCAGGTCTACTCTAGCCATACAGGAAGTCTCTAGCTTTTTTGTTCTTGCAGAGATAGCATGACCAGTGTTTATATGATTATAGGATTGTAAAGGACCCCAGAAGTCATCTAGCCCAACTCCCACCTTTTATAAATGAGAAAACTGAGGCCCAAAGATTTTAAGTGATTTGCCCAAGGTTGCACTGAAAGTAAGTGGCAAAGTGATATTTCAACCCAAGGCCTCAGGCCTCAAATGCAATGCTCCTCTTCCACTTTATAACATGATGCTTTTCAGATGTTTTCTTCTTAGGTTGTTATTCATGTTTCATACACAGGTAATTTCCTAATCTTTTTTCTCTTGATTTCTTACCCTCTATTAAGCTCTTAAATCATTCACTATTTTTAGGACAACATGTTTACCACCACCAGCTCAAAGAATGATGGCTAACATTTATATAGTGCTTTAGGGTTTGCAACATATGTTTCATCTGAGGCTCACAACAACCTTTTGAGGTACGTGCTCTTATTATCCCTATGTTACAGATAAGAAAACTAAGGCTGAGAGGCTAAATGATTTGCCCAGGGCGACATAGGAAGCAACTGAGGCTGCATTTGAAGTAAAGTCTTTCTGACTTCCAAGTCTAGCTCTCTATCACCTATCTATCTATATCATTTAACACTCTCCCTCAAATTTAATTAGGCTAAAGGAAAATAGCACCAGAAACTCCCCCGATACTCTACTCTAGCTCATCTATATCTACAGGCAGTACAGTGCTCTAGAGATACCCAATAAATACATATTGCATTATATCCTATTATTATATTCCAATACCAATTTATTCTGTCCCTAAGCCTAAATCCTCCAGGT